GGCAAGTGACGTCAAATTTTGACGCGTTTATTCCTCTTTTTAAAAAGGTATAATACTTACACATTAATTTGAAAAAAAAAAATTTTTGATAATATTTTTACTCAACAACCCAATTTTTACGATGTCTTACAGAATTCTTAGAAAGAAAAATTTACGACGAATTGAATCTAACCTCTCTTTGGAGAATACTGTGTGCTGTGCTCTTCGGTATCCCCGTATACAATACACTATACAATTTATTTTTTCCCGCCAAGTCACTAATGATCGATGTCGATATATTTCTATTTCTTCGAATATAGAGTCTGTGGTGAGATTGTGTGCGTTACCCAGGCAAAATGTTTTGCACTCCAGCAAAATTTGTTTTTCTTAAATAACTTAAAAACTACAATTCAAACAAATTTTGCTATTAGTAAACAAATTGCTCCTCATGATACACTAATTATTTGTTTAAGTCTCATCTCTCTAAAGCAAAACATTTTGCCTGGGTAACGCACACGGTGAGATTCTCTACATAGTCGCTGGTCTGCCATTGTTACGAACTGTCAATGTCATAATTAGTTGCTGTCAGTGTTCGCCTCCGCAACCGTAACCGGACGAACACGAAATTACCGTTTGTTTCTGTAACGCTCGTAAAAATATTGTGCATAAATGTACTTGATACTTCAGTGCTAGTCTAGATGTGATCATTAATCAGTTCATTCATAATTTTATTCTTTTTACATGAGAACAATGTGCGATTACTCTAACATCGAGTACTTGTCCATGGTAAAGTTTTATGTGATTGAGAATTTCAATGCAAGCGCGGCTCGTCGTCGGTACAGTGATCCAGAACATTTAAATAGTTTACAACGAGGAGGTGTACCAAACCCACGTACTCCGAGTACCACTATATTCATCGCGGTTTGGCAGCGTTTATTAGACTACGGCCAGTTCCGCACACCCAAATATATGCGAGACGATACTAGAGTCAGTAATAAATCTAAATGCAATGGTAAACTAGCTGCTCGTATACTAGAGTACTTTGAAACAAACCCTGGCAGTAGTATACGGAAGGCAGCTCAACATTTTGAAGTGAGCGCCTATTACATTTCAAACCTATTGAAAAACGAGAGTGAAGAAGAAAGTCCGCCTCACTCAAAGAATGTAAGTAACCAAGTTTACTTGTTATAGTTCGACAATTCATTAACCTCCCGGCACTGGCAGTTGTCAACACAACTTTGGATTAGAGACTCGGTAATCATTCAAGAACAAAGAAGTTCACACAAAGTGTAGCTATGTAGTGGTAGAGTAAGGTATTTTTGCTGACTACAAACTGAACAAAGATGGCAGCAGCACTCTTTCGATAGACTTGATTCATTTCAATTCCTTGATATCCTGCTTTGATTGTTTTTGAAATGTAAGAGCTACCATTCACAGACTGCATAAAGCAGTCAGGATCGGCTGCTTCAAGCTGCAACTGCATAGTGAAGAACTTCTACAAACTGCTCGAGTTACAGACAGAACTCATGCCCCCACCCCCTCGTGCTGTTTATTATTGGTTGTGTACATTTTCATTTGTTTCATGAATATGCTGTTAACTCTGTCTGCAAGAGCGGTCTGTGTATATTTTTATCACCAAGCAGTCTGTGTGTATTGTGAAAAGTGTACTATTTCAATTTCAGGACATCTCAGAAAAAGACGAAGTGTTAGCCAACGTGTACCATTACTTAAAAAAAGAGCGGGATGAACGCTCGGACAAGACGGTGTCGACGATGGAGCTCCGGCATCGCACGGCTCGCGCCTGCGGCGTCGCGGAACATGCCGTACGCCGCGTCCTGAAGTTGCAGCGTGCTAAAGAAAATCCCAACCTCAAACCCCGGAAAAGACGCCCCAAGAAAGCAAGCACGCCACCACAACAGTATGTGTCATTCTTTAATAATCTAATCTAATTAATAATGTATATATATCTACGCGCATAACTTCAGAACGAAAGTAGCAAAAAAAAAAAGTCGAAAAGACGCGAAGTCGCGGGCAGCTCCCTAGTAAATAATAGTTTATTTTGTTTTTCTACGAATATTCTTAATCGGATGGCATTTGGCCTCCATCGCACAGACCTGGTGGTTAGCAATGATGTGGTCGACGATCCCCTAGTCCCAGGGAAATTAGATTGTGTAATTCCCACGCACAATCTCGGAGATGTAGGCGATAAAAGACATTTTTTTTAAGGGGGGAATATCATCGAATGACTGCTTCCGCCTGGGTGATGCGAAAGGGTGTGTCAGACTCTTACTGACTATAAACCACCCCGTTCCTTCTCCTGCACGTCGAGCCGGAGGCCCCGGTAACCCGTTAGGTTCTCCGCGACATGCGATAAAAGACATAAAGGCTTGCGACTTTATGCCTGTGTTCGAGCCTCGAGGCTTTGTAGCCGAGCCTCTACAAGTGTTTCATCATCGATGAGACTGTTGGCGCACCCTACGATGGTTTCGAGTACCTCAAGCTGGCATTCAGCTAAGCCATCCCAGAGATGGAAGCAAATAAACAAAAATAATTTTGAAACTACATTACCGATAATAACTGTCACGACTTGCCCTCTTGTTCATTTTCGGCTTGACGTTGAATTCCGGGAAACAATGTAAAATTAGTGTCGACTAAACTTGGATGTCTTGTATGTTACAGTGAGCAACAGAGTGCCTCTGATGATGAAGTGGATGGCGAGGAGGCGGAGATGACGCTGGCTCAGCTGAAGCAGCGGCAGCAGTCGCAGGACGGAGCGGAGCGCCCCGCCACGACACAGAAACCGAACCACAAACGGAGAGGACGTAAGAGGAAAGCAAACACTCCACCACCAGAACAGTATGTTACTATAGTTCAACTAGCTTCTGCCCGCGGCTTCGCCCGCGTTCCCGCCGGATAAAAACCAGCCCATGTGTTATTCCAGACCATAATGTGGGGTACATTATGGTTCCAAATTTCATCCTCGCTGTCATTGCAGCGGTAAGTTCCGTCTTTGAGGAGTGGCTTGAGAGATGCTACGGCGTCCTCACCTACCGCCTGACGCAGGTGCTTACCGGACACGGGAGTTTCGGTAGGCTCCTGTTTCGGATTGGGGGGGAGGTAACGCCCGGCGAAGACCAACCGGAGGACACGGTGGAGCATACGGTGGCGGTGTGCCCAGCGTAGACTGAGCACCGCCGTGTCCTCAGGGATGTGATCGGCGACGGCCACCTCTCGCATCCGACACTGGTTCAGGCCATGGTCTGGAGCGAGGGGGACTGGGATGCCGTCTCCTCCTACTGCGAAGCAGTCATGGTAGCTAAGGAGGAGGCGAGCCGCGTAAGGGAACGAACCTTCTCATACTCGTCGAAGATCGCGCGACAATGTCCGGCCACCGTAAGTGCCGGTCTCTGCGGACGGTGAGCAAGGGTAGCTTGCCGCCAGACTAGAACCAGGCCCGAGCGTACGGGGCGTCGCATTCCGCGCGCGCCTCAAAGAGCCGTCAGACCACCACAGATAGGGCTCAATAGGGCTGATGCCCGATACGGAGCCGCGGAAGGCCTAACGGGTTGCCAGGGCTCCGGCTCGAAGAGCAGTAGTAGGAACGGGGTGGTTTCTAGTTAGTAAGAGTCTGACACTCTCTCTCGTCTAACCCAAGAGAAGTCTTTGGATGATTTACCACTCTCAAAATAAAGCCCTCGAGCCGTCTGGTCGTGATTAACATACATGCACATAAACATACAAACTTTCACATTTATAATATTAGTAAGATATCATGCACACTGACAGACAAACACTGTTTGACATATATCATGTTTATTATAAACTTGTACATTTTGTTTGTTGCAGGCAGGACGAGTCCGACTCCGATGAACCAGAAGTAATTGTGAAGACGGACGCAAATAGTGAGGATGAATGCATGTAAGTTTGTTTTTACTACCAATCAAGTTATTATGTATGCGAGTAAGAAAACAAAGATTGCTTCGGTACAGAGACAGTAGCTATTGTTGTACTAAATTGTATGCTTTTTATTCAAGTTATATATTTTGTAACCATTGGTCTGCTCTAGATAACCAGTAATGAAACCACCCTCTCTAGTAAGACAGATTTCCAATTGGAAATCGGAAAAACCACACCAAAATCAATAAACTAGACAATATTCAATCAAAACTCCCTGAAAACATTCCAGGTAAAACTACCAAATGACTGAACTAATATCGTCGAAAGTATTTAATTCTGTAATAAAACAAAAGATACGTGTCTAATGTTTTAAAATAATTTACCAGGCGGAAATTTAATGTGTCAGGAAACTTATAAATAAATTAACTGTTTAGCTTTATATATTAGTATAGATTGTTTTGTTTATGTTTGCAGTGAATTCAATCCCCTTTCCTCGGATGACGAGACCCTCAAGCCTGACGTGACGGACGCCACTGTAGAGGTAGAGAACGGCTTGCAACAGTGAGTTATTGTCCTTACAAGATTGAACATGTCTGAAGGCCTTTTTTAAGGGGGAAAGTCATCGAATGACTGCTCCCGCAGTTGAAGGCAGAAGCTATTAACGTTGTATTTTTGTGTTGCAGAGAGGAGCAGACTGAGGAAATAGCTGACACGTTGTTTGTGAAGATTGAGCCGCGCGAGTATGAGGACAGCGCGTGAGTTGTACACTACTTACATTCTTCATCATCATTCATATTATGTTCTCGGCCTTCTCACGTAACTGTTTGACGAGGAACTCGACTAGTTTCAAGCCATGCTAGAGGCTCGCTTACTATAATATGGTTGATGCAGGACCAAATAAAACATACAATGATTACATTTGTTACAGGAACCATCTGAATGGGAGTTTAGAAGTTAAAAGAGAAAATCCTGAAGGCACACAAGATGGGCTTAGTTAACACAGAGCCGTACTCCGTAAGGCAAACTAGACAAGTGCTGGGCGCCAGGATACAGAGGGCGCCGCGAGACGCGCGTGCGCAACTGTCCATAGACTGACGACGGCGTCAAAATATTAGGGGCGCCTATGAGGTGCTGGCCTAGGGCGCTCTCTTGGTTCAATCCACCTCCGAGTTACAATGTAACATTATGTTTGTGTATTGTACAGTCTGCACAGCTATTTACTGCACAGGTAACAAAATAAAGATTGATTCAGTACAGATTTGTAACGAAGCCATATCTTTTGTAACCATTGGTCGGCTCTAGACAACCAATGGCGACTGTCTCTGTACCTGCGTACTAAATAGGTTGGCTGACTACTTGTGCGCCTCTGTCTACCTCTTTGGGGATCAAAAGGTGTGACTTAGTGTCATGTTATTCTTTTGGTTATAATATTTGAGTTTGACCAGTCAAGCCCTTTTGTTTGATATCCATAATGGAGGTAGTTGTGGAAAGAATTGGATTATATTGTATGGTCATCAAGATCAACTGCTTGAATGCACCGATATGAGACACAATAGAGAATATATTGTGTCTCGCGTGGATCCACGGTTTAGACACACAGAAGGTTAAGAGTGTGTACCAAATATCAGATCGATCTGTCGTCAGTAAGGGGGTGAAATTACAATTACTAAATTTGTCCCAGACAGGGCGAGCTGAATGAAACCGTTTGAAATTATTTGTTTGAGAATAAAATTATATTTGTGATCGGAATTAAAGAAGTATGTAAGGACCATACTAAGTGTTGCTTCTGCCAGCCTCCATGGGACAACGGCGTGAACAAATCAGTGATATTATACTAGTTTACATTAAGAATAGTACATAGTTATTGAAATGACTGGTTTAGTTTAGGTTAAGATTGTGATTGAAACGACTGTGTTTCTGTTTCTATAATTATATTTTTAATAAATTTCCATTGTTATTATTAATGTCGTTTTTTACTGTAGCAACTAGCTACTCCTGCAGCTTTTTATTTTCATCAGTTCTTCGGTTCCAATTGGGTACTTGCCAATTAGTCAAATTTAATACTTTTTTCGAACTGTCAAAAACGACAGTTTTTTTAACACTTTAGTGCACACAAAATAACTCTTATCATATCAGTGTAATAGGGTAGGTACATAAGGTGGACTTAATGTCATATGGCATTTTCTCCCAGTCAACCTTTGGGTTAAATGTAAGCTCAGCGAAAATGGGCCTGTGTAATATGCAAAAAAAACACAAAATAAATAATTAATAGTAATAATAAATACAGTTTTGAATTTTGTACGAGATTATGTATTGTGACGTCACAGTTTTTAGCGTCAAAAGCATACATTACTTTCAATTAGGTATTTTGTGAAGATTCATACGCAAATTCTTCGACAACGCTTTGTATACGGCTCCTAAAAGATAATAACCTATTCTGGGGTATTTTATTAATGTGTGGTAGCAAGCTTCTAAAAAACAACATATGTTCGTGCTCTGTATCCGTACTGTTTTGTCGGAATGTCTCTTTTTCTTTCAAGTAATTGAGTATTTGGTGTGCAACGTCCATTTCGGCGACGCTAGTCAACTTTTGAACAGGTTGGTCGCCCACATTGCTATCTTCGAAGTTTTTTGTTGAGGGTGAACCGCAAAAGTTATCGACACTTTCCGAATCGACTATTTCAGTGTCTTGGTCCAAACTGTCCGATGGTGATCTGCGACGTTTGACACGGCCAGATAATTTCCGCGCTTTCACTTGCCCTTTTAGAAAAAGCAAAGATTTATAATACGGCCATTTGGGATTAATTGTAGCAGTTTCATCTTCTGAGAAGACATTTTCCAGTTTTCCTAATTCGACAGCGAATTGATCCCGCAAGTACCGCCATCGTTTTCTTACTTTATATTCTGAAACATGAATAAAATTATTATCTTCTGTAGGACAACGCTATTGGACTATAGTGTGGGAGAGCCATGTTTCGGCATGAATGGGCTGGCTCGACCGGAGGCTTGCCCGGCAGTCGAAAGTGCGAC